CTACACGCTTCACTGTTAACTGCATCTGTACTGTACCACACCTTTTTTTCTAACATGCTCCCTTCTGACCTGGTCTAAAGCTATTCAAGATATCGTCTAGAATGGGCTGGATTAGGCCCTTTGCAGTGTGGACAGCTAGTTAGCCAGTGAAGCTACTGAAGCCATAGGAAAAGTAAAGATCAAAAAGCCACTTGATAGTAATCCACCTTTCCACCGTTATGTCTAGTGGTACATTGTTTTAGCTCAGCTGAGCTAGAGATTACAGATGTTGTCTGTATCTTGCCATATAAATGATTGCCGTTGGAGTGGCTGCCTTTTGCAGAAGTGTTGTTCATAGCTTTAAAGGTCAGATGCGCGGCTCTAATTACTCAATCGGTATTATCAGGGAAAGCAGATTTGAAATTGTCCTTATGCTATTATCGTATTCTCTTTCAGCAGGAGGATATCTTTGTTGTCTATATTGTTTTATAATTGTGAAAACAGTTGCACTCAGTACATATTCACACATGTGACTGATTATACATAAGCAATAAACTCAATTTATGAGGTTAATTTATGAGGATAAGGTTCAGAGGATAATTCACTGAGTAGATTGTGGTTTGTGGATTAATTTCTGTCTAAATTCTCTGACAGAAGTTAGTGTATGGTTACTTGTGATTCCTAGTGCATGGTACCCTCTCCTTAGGAGCTTACCTTCTCCCCCGTGGGGATGTGCAGCCCCTCCATCACCTTGGCAAAGGAGCCCTTGTTGATCATTTTGCCTACTAGGTAATTCCCAACTTGTTTGGAGTGAGGGAAAGTCTTCCCAGTTTCTTGGGGCATCTTGTTAAAACAAGCAGGTACTTTTATATCCTTGAAGTTTTTCTCCCATTCTGGTAATATCCCATCCAAGTTGCCAGTATCTGTCATTTTGTCATCCAAGCCGGCTTTCGTTGTTGTGAGCATCCCTGGAGAGTCAGATTTGTGTTGCTACTTTCCAGATGGAGCTTCTGATTCACAGCAGATCCAGGCGTTAAGTCTGTACATCTTGTGGTGCAAGTGCCATCCTGCTGATCACACAGCAGCTCGTCCTTTCCCTCCGAGACTCCGTGTTTGTCACCGATCTCTACCCTCGGCACACAGATCTGCTCAAGCAGAACCAAGTGGTAGATTATTAACCTAACCTGATACCCGATGTCAGTTAATGTCCCAGAGCTGCCCAGTCAGATGACACATAATATCCCAGCATTCACCTGGAATACACAACTCTTATTCCTCCTACAATATTTTCCTAAACAAGTTGCACCAAACTAAACTAAGCCCCAGTTTTCCTCACATGGATGTTGCTGGTGTGCAAGGGCACAATTTTTTCTAAAAACGCCATGGTACCTAGCATGAATGCAAAGCTCAGTTATGTACCTGATGCTCTGCAAGCATTTACATCTTTACTGTGTAAAGCGTATAAATATATATGCACCTGTGGCACATTTAAGTCCCAGGGTCCTGGCCTGATGCCAGGTCAGGTATCTTGCATTTCCTGGGACCTGATTCCTGTTCTGTAACATGTAGCAGTGGGGACAGAGAGAGAGAGAGAGAGGGAGGGAGGGAGGGACGGAGGGAGAGAGGGAGGAAGGGGGGGTGTGTGTGTTAGCATTTTTCCTCTTACAACAATGACTGATAAAGAAAGAACAAAAGAAAGAATAAAAGAAAGAGAAAGGAAAGAGAAAGGAAAGGGAAAGGGAAGGGAAGGGAAGGGAAGGGAAGGGAAGGGAAGGGAAAAGAAAAGAAAAGAAAAGAAAAGAAAAGAAAAGAAAAGAAAAGAAAAGAAAAGAAAAGAAAAGAAAAGAAAAGAAAAGAAAAGAAAAGAAAAGAAAAGAAAAGAAAAGAAAAGAAAAGAAAAGAAAAGAAAAGAAAAGAAAAGAAAAGAAAAGAAAAGAAAAGAAAAGAAAAGAAAAGAAAAGAAAAGAAAAGAAAAGAAAAGAAAAGAAAAGAAAAGAAAAGAAAAGAAAAGAAAAGAAAAGAAAAAGGTTATTAAACCTTAAAAGAAAAGGAGGGTTATTTTCTACAGTTGTTGTCTATCTGTATCTTTCTTCATCACCTGGGTTCTTTCCGAAGTCACAGAGAGACAACAGAGCCTTTCCAGAGAGTGCTTTCACATACCTGCAATTTGAGCCGGGAGTTGCCATCTCTCTCCACTGACTACAGTGGAATCTTAGGGAACCAAAGCCCTTCCCATAGCTTAGTGCGATGATGAATCCTTTCTCCACCCTTTGTCACTTGGAATTGAACCATAAGCGGCGTCCTCCTTGCCTGATTTGACTTGTGAAGCTCACGGAGGGCAAAAATTTGCCAGGATGAGTGAAAATGAGAAGGATTTTTTTTTTTTTTTAAAGTGTTTAAAATCCAAAATGGATTTGCTGTACTCTTGACAGTTCAAACCCTTGTGGGCGAGTTCAATGCATCACCATCTGCATGCAGCTGCTATCAGGCACCGGGCAACCTCTTGCCTTTTAGTGTCTAAGTAAATGATAAAGTCCCACTAAGCTGAGCAGGTTTCATCTGCATAACATACTCAGTTGTCACACTTTGAGCTAGATCAGTTGCCCAGCTGGAATGGGACTTTGTTTGCTGACTTAAGTGGCTTTTTTCTATTCCTTACAGAAAGCCAGCAACAAAGGAGACATGGTTTTTTGAGGGAAGAATGAGGAAATTCTCCTTGATTAGTGCTTACTATTTTCTCTGCCTCCTTCCCGTCTTCCTAAACCACTGTTCATTGATTTTCCCACTAAAACCAAGAAAATAAAAGTGAGGGGAACCACTGTATGGAACAGAAACCCCATATTTCTGGCACATTTCAGAAGAAAGGAAAAAACCTCTTTAAAAATTTAAAACATGATAGCTAGCTAAGTTAACTATTGCTATTTTTGGGGAAAGTCCCAGCCTGACACCTCGAAAAATGTTGAAGTCGAAAAGCTTCCAGATACCTTTCAAAGTAATTTTTTTGGCACAGTGGAGGATTAAAAAAAGGAGACAGGACAAAGGAGCAAAAGAGAGTCCACTTGTGTGTTAGGCAGTCCAGGACTACTGATCGCAAGCCAAATGAAGCTGAAATCCTGGATGAGAAAGGAGCCGTCCACCAGTGCTGGTAGTGTCTCTGCACTGTTGTATGGCTGTTATATGATGTGCTGCATTGCAACGTGGAAAAGGTGTGAGAAGAGACCAAATAAAGCAGACCTCTGATAGAAGAGAGATTCCAATAAGGAATAATCTCCATCAAGGAGGAAGGATTAGCACTGTAGAAGGCATGACCACCTTAATGATTTCAAAAAACAAACAACTCTCCTCCCCAAATAAGCCCTGTGGCATATTTACCACCTTGCAATCATTTCGGGAGGCAGTGTTGCTTCCTTGAGAAATAAAAAACCCCAAACCAACAAAACTGCAGATCTGAAGAACGTATACAGTTTTCTTATCAGCAAGTGAAAAAAAAAGATTTTTATATAAATTGAAGACTAATCCTGTGTTTGAGAAGAAAAATTTTGCTTTATCAGTCCATATTCTTAGTAACCTTCCAGGGAAACGGAAATTAAAAGTGTTTCTCACAATATCTGTGCTACTGATCCAGAAAATATGAGGCCCTGTGTGTGTGGGAGTTAACTGTATGCGAAGGCCAGGCTAGTTAAATAACCTCATTACATTCAGCAGAAATAAACCAGCATGAGCAGGAATTTGTCACTTCGCAGCCACCGTCTTGGATTTCCTCCTGTGAAGCAAAATCCTACCTGTAGCTATATCCAAAGCTTTCCCATCTCAGACTAGGGATGTGGCAATGTGGTCCTGCTTTCTGGTTTTTTGCCATTGCTTGACTTAATGTAAGGTTGGGTTTTGCTTCTTAGAGTAATTATTTTTGAATCCTAATTTATACTCTTGTGAATACTGCCAGTTTTGTAAGATCTAGTGCAAGATTTTTCCAAAGGGCTAAGAAGTCAGATTCTTAGAGCTGTGAAGTCCCACTGATTCGACTCAAAAGTTCCTCCAAAGCCTGGCTTTTCTGGGGTCGCAGAGCATACGCCCTACCTAAAGATGTGCTTTCCACAGGCACTGAGGGCATGCCCACCTGGTGAGGGTCTGTGTTGCCGTGCAGGAGCAATGCTGTAGTGGGCTGAGGGACAGACTTGTTAGTTGGGAGGCAGCATCCCACTGGAGACTGGTCTTGTTGATGGGGAGGTGGCATCCCACTCTCAGATGAAAGTCAGCATCTCCTCCTGGATCAACGTTGTCATGGGGATGCACCAGCACGCACAGAACTAGTGCAAACATCTCTTTTCCAAAGGTTCTTGGATGCACGCGTGTTTTTAGGTGCATTGCCAACTCTCCCCGCTCCCATGACTTTTGACTTTCCCACTAACTACTGCCATCTGCTGCTTGAGGTACTGATGGTGCTGGCTTAGGTCCTGAGCTTGGCCAGCTTTGGAGGACTTGAAGGTTGCAAACAGTTCATATTTCCACATGGCTTAGGTTACCTGGGTGTGGGATGTGGGCTCAGTAGCTCCTTTTAAGACTGAAAGCTTTTCAAGTTTCATACTGAGAAGTGGGGATTTCCTTTTCAGAGAAGGAAATCCAAGATGGTGGCATCTAAATGTGGTGAATGGAGCAAATAAGGGGGAAAAACAATGGCTTGAAGACATAGTAGGAGGAATTTCACCTGAATAGCAACCTCACAGTCTGCATCGTAATAGCTCTCAGATCCTGGAACCACTTCAGTCTGTGTTTTATAACGTACCTAAGACATGCCCTCATTGCACTGTAACACCTGCCATGCCTGAAGTTATTTCTGACCTCTCATACGCTCTTTGGCAGCCATGAAGTTTACTTTAGAAGTTACTGCATGTGCAAGCTCAGCAGCTTTTCTGCAGGATTTACTTACTGCCACGTTTTAAGGGGTTAAGAAAGCATGCGCTCAAGGGCGGGCCAGACTCTCCTCCCAGAGCGGTGTGAACCAGGGATTACTCTCTTTCAAGAGTCATAGTGCTCCTTTAGTCAAAAAGGTGACTATTCTTCACCACCAAGAGACTAGTGGAATCAGAAACATATGGGTGGTTATTTTCTTGGTTTCGATCTGGCCCAGCACTCACACGAGTGAATGGGAATATTTCTTTTGTCTTCATAAGGAGTTGGATCAGGCTATGAAAGCACAAAAGACTTTGTTCTCCATACTATGTTAATTTTTAATTCATGTAAGTGTATTATTTCCACAATGTTACTTATGAGCATGTTTTACTCACACAATCCATATCGCCACTAAATTTATATCTGATTCTGCACTGATTCCTTAGGATAGTTGTTAAATTTAAAGAAAGAAGAATAGCTTTACTTTGCAGATAGTCTTTGTCTTTCTGCCATGCAATATGCGCTTACCAGATACGAAAAAAGTTTCTCATGCATGTAGATATTTATATTCAGATTATTTTCCATTTCTAGGAAAGATTTCTTGCACCTTTTATTAGTTGTCCATGAGCACTGATTCACAGCATATTTAGATGGAGTATTTCTGTCAAATCTGTATTTCCTCCAGATGAGGGTCTCTGTTTCTCAAACATATTGACAGCTTTGATCTAGTAACCCTTACTTGACTCCTTGAAGTAGCCTTTATAGTTTCATTCATGTTTCAGTATGGTATCTGGTTCTTGAATGTCTACAAGAATATCAAAACTAAAAAGCATTCATATTGAGTCAGACTGAAAGTGTGTCTAGTCGGTGTCCAGTCTTTGAGTGGGACCAAAACCAGATACCTGGAGTCAAGTATGTTAGGTGAAGCCTATGTGATACCTCTCAGTAATACATCCCAGCTCCAACCACTTGCCACTCAAGGGCTTCATAAGACAAAGGTGGCTTCTGTGGACTCCATAAATGTACACTATTTGCAACAGTATCTTTCAAACCCTATGGATACCCGTAGATTATAT